ACTGCTTTGTTACAACTTCATTTTACTAATTTTACAACATTTAAACTACATAATATCATAATTTGTTATTTGTTAATACAATTTTTTTTTTTTTTAAAAAAAAAAACAAACATCCTAAATTTAAATTATAGTAGTTTTAATTTCAATTACAAGATACAACTTACATATAAAGAAACATAAGTATTCTTTATGTAAAAAAAAAAAAAAAAAAAAAACACACCCACACACAATTCCTCAAAAAAAATTTAATATATTACACATATTTATTATTTTTATATTATTTATACAATTATCTATATCTTACATAACAAAATATTCTTTCAAATTATTTCACAAATATTTCACAAAACAAATACCCACGGCTATTATTCATAAAAATATATTATTTTTTCTTACCTAGTATCACATTAAAATACATAAATTCCACATATTTATTATTTTGATTGGGATTTCATTTCTAAAAATATGATATATATATATATATATATTGATATTGCAGTTACAAGTATACTAACTTTGTGAAGAGGAAATTTCAATAAAAAGGAAAAAAAGAAAAGTGATTTTGAGTAGTTTTACAAAAACTTTTATAGCTTGAATTAGGGTATGATATATTATTTTATCTTTTTTTTTTTATTTTTTTTCTACTATTATTTCTAATTTCAGATATTCAAAATTTTGTTATATTATTATTATTATTAAGTTTTTTTTTTCTTTTTATTTTTAACTTTTAAATTAATCTATAAAATTATTTCAAACAAAAAATACAGATAAAATGATAAAATAATCAAAACTATGCTGTTAAATAGAAAAATATCTTATTACTTGTTTTGGCATATGATCAAAACTCTTCTCATTGTTTCTGTTGTTGGCGGGAACTAAATACAACATTGTTGACCTATCAGATTGAAGCAACAATCAATTTGAAGCATCATTCTTATCTTGTCTCTTCTTGGTTTGGTGTGCACACAAGACAAAATTGATGGTTCAAAGTAATCAATTTGGTATCAGTATTATCAGAATTATGCAGGGACACACCATACAATTTATGTGCAAAGAGAAATTAATATGTTTGTTTTACATGCGCAACACAGATTTTGGTTTTGTATACCGTGAAGGGTTTTTGGTTGTGAGCCGAGTTTTGAAAATTTTGTTTTGAGAGAAAGAGTGATTCGATGCTCTCAACCTTACTCCTTCTCTTTTCCATATTCTAAGGGAGTGTTTATTACTTTTATCCGCTGGAGAGTTCGTCGGAGGAAATAGTTACTGGAGCTCCGATCAAGAGAAATGACCTGATTCTGAGCAATTCTATTCCGTGGTCGTTGTTAGTACGATTTTGTGACAATTTAAACCTTTTGAGGGAATCTCCAAGGTAAGCCACAGTAAGAGGTTGAGTCGAAGGAGTTGTGGTTTATCTGTATTCTGTAATCAAAATTGATTAGTAGAACTTCTCCTAAATTGGTATCCCCAAATATATATTGATTTATAACCAAACCAGGTTAATAAACCCTTGTCTCGATTACTACTTTGTATTTCTGCATGCATATCGTTGGCAGTAAAATATTATAACTGTTATATAAATATGCTTCAGAAGTTTTGCCATATTTTAGGTATTCAAAGAAATTTTTTAGATTATATAACTACACATGGTACAATTGTTTTCCACTTATAAGACATATTGATAAAACACACATTAATATTTGACAACTTCCATTTGGAAAAATATTTTTATAATTTAAATTTTTAATTTTTTTTTAAAATATAAAAAATTGAATATTTGATTTGATATTTTATATAAAAAGAATATTTGATATAATATATATTTTAAAAAATTAATAAATAGTAGATGTTGTGTTTTTATAGCAAAAATCTCATAAATATTGAAATAAACATACAGTCTGTTCACTCCGTATTTCTCAATGAACAATTTTTCATAAATATTATTAAAAAAATACAAATATACACACATTAATATAATATATATATCATTCATTCATAAAAAGTTAACTATTCAACAAAAATATTATTTTTATATTATCAACACAAATCTCCGTACCACAAAAAAAATCAATTCATCTAAAATTGTCGAGTGAACATACTGATAAACATAATTTAGCACTTTTCTTTGTCATTTTACTAAACTTACAACTATTTTCAAAACATAGTTAGCACGTTAGGCTCTCTTATTTTGAAGTTTAAGTTTTGATTTATATATTTTTATTATATGAAAATTATAATTCTTTAATAATATATATATATCATTATTTTTCTACAAATAACATTACATCTAAACCTTATCAACAAAAAATAATAATAAATAAATAAATAAATAATGAAACCCTTCAAAAATACCAATACAAAGAAAAATTATGCAATAGTATGATTTATATAAAATATTTTTTATGCATAACAAAATACAACTACAATGTATTAATTTTATAAATTTAAATAAATGAGTCTCAAATCACATCATAATTCATAACACATAATAATATTTATTTTTTGTAACCTATGCGATAAGCCTTAAGACCCCTTTAAAAGGGGTAAGGAATTCCTGAATTTGATGTCTATTTTCCCATTTCCAAATTCTACTTGGAAATATATATAGACTTCATTTATAACATGGAGCCAAACGACATAAGGGTGTGTTTGTTTGAAGGATTTGGTGGACTTCTACTATTCATAAAAAATTTTTCCCCCCAAAAATATTAAATCAGACACCTATTTTTTTTTATATTATACTAAAAATTAATTTTATATTCAAAATATCACATCAATCCATGTATATATCACATCATACAGTTATTTCAATTCAAATTTTTTACTATTCAAATCTCAATCTAAAATCCAAATCCCAGACAAACACACCATGTGGAATTTTGCTTTTGCACAAAAAATGGTTGTATATATTGACTTTTTATTCTATACTATTGATGTGAAATTTATAGCATTAATACCATAATTATTTGATTAAAAAATAATTTAAAAATTTATAAAGACATGATTTATATATTTAGTTTGAGATAAATTATTACATCTAAGGATAAAACTTGTGAGATTTTATTTAAGAGATAATGAAATAAAAGAGTTTTTGAGTGCGTCATATGGTGTTATATGTTATTTAGTTAATTAAGTTAATTTATACTATTTATTAAATATGTTCTGAACTAGTAAATTATACTTAAAATAAAAGAAGATGTATTTTGTTATCAGACATACAAATGGAAAAAAGTATTTTATAAATAAAATAATTGTTGATATTTTCAAAATAAAAATATGTGTTGATTTATATTTTTGAAATAAAATTATAAAATTGTACAGTAAAAAATTTAAAATACCGTGCACGAAAATACTGATCCAAATATTTGGCAACGTAACATGTAAAATTCAATATACTCCCTCAGTTCCGGAACAACCATCCTATTTGGGTTCGACACAAAATTTTAAAAATAATAGTATTGTATTAAAAACGAGTATAAAGTAGATAATAAAATATTACAATGTTCTTGAGAGTATTTGATTTTTTATAAAATATTTTGTATTATTTATATTTTGTATATATTTTAATAGTTCTATAAGTTTGAAATAAACTTACAAAGTTATTCAAACTCTACAGGTATAGGCAATTATCAAAGCTATTAATTATCCAATCATATAAAAATTTAATAAAATTTTGTCAAAATAAAATAATCATAGGAGCCGAAATAAAAAGTAAGTCGAAGACACAATATTATGACTCTGTTTCTATGGATTTTTTTTCTTAATTATTATTAATAGGATATTGTGTTTTTTAAACAATATTTTTTTCTTTTTTCACAAAATTACATCAAAAAATTATTTAAATACAAAATTTAAACTAAATTTTTTTAAATTCAAATATAAAAAACACTTATATTATTATTAATATTCTTTCAATCAATCCACTATAATTATGCTATATATTTTTTTTTAAATATCTATAATTTTATTACTCATTATTAACGAATAATAATAATTTTTTTATCATTATTATTATTTTTTCTAGTTATTGTATCATATTTTTAGCAATTTATTAATAAATTTTCTATAATATCTTATATTATTTTTTATTTATTTTACTTTTATATTAAAATATTATTTCCGCTGTCCAGCTTTAAGGTCATATTTATTTTTTGCGTATTGATTTTTTATATTAATTATTATATCGAAATACAAGTTAATGGAAAACAACAAAATATTTGTCTTATAATACTAATAATGACATTTGTACAAAAATTAGACGAATATAAAGATATTTTTAATGTTAAATACAATAAAACAACAAATCATTGTAACCCTTAGAGCTCTATCTTACTTACTTACTTACTGTGTCTACCTTTTCATTTTCGTCTGTCTGTTCCACTTATTCTATCACTTTTTTTTTTTTGAAAAAAAATTATACACTTTAATCTTATTTTAAAATTTTAATTATACAAATTAGTTATCTTAATATTAATTTAAAATTATTTTTATTATACGATAATTACCTTTCACTAATATATTATCAATTATTTACTAATTATATCCCTTATAAATTCTCGTGTCTATCGTAAAAGAAACACGGTAGTCGGGATGGAAAGAATATTATTTTTTAATTTCGATGTCAAAATAAAATAATATAGATGTCCCGGACGGATAGAATATTATAGTAATAAGGTCAACGGTCCATGTAATAGTGGAAGATAAATCAACGGCTGTGGAATCATGATGAACAACCCACCTACGGCAATGGTTGACCCGATCGGTAATAATCTACGGCAGACCATAAATCCATATGCTACCTCCAATATGAAAATTGAAATTGAAATTGCACACAAATCTTGTCAAAGAAATCTGTCCATTTTTAAATAATAATAATAATAATAATAATAATAATAATAATAATAATAATAATAATAATAATTTGATCGAGTCAAAGAAATTCCCAGTGCTCACGCGTATATATGTATAATTGTATGTATGTGTAAAACAAGTCCAAAGTCTTCCCTTTGTTTCTGTAATCGAGTGTTTGTTTTGTCCATGCAGTCTTTCGTGAATTCCCTTTCTCTCTCCTAATTTGTCTTAATTGTGTTTCCCACTCTCTCTCTCTCTATATTACGTGTATATATATATATATATAAGTTGTAAATCACTACTACTACTACTGCTGCAACTTCACTCACCAATTCTTAATTTCCACATACATATATCTTCTTCTTCTCCAGCTACTTCAATTTGAATTTGAATTTGGATTTGGATTTGAATTTCATTTCCATTTATATATTAGTTAATTAATTTTATACAAAAAATAAAGGTCATGGCCGGCGCCGGAAGGTCTCTGGAGCAGACTCCGACGTGGGCCGTCGCCGTCGTCTGTTTCGTCCTCGTCGCAGTTTCGATTGTCATAGAACACATCATTCACTTAGTAGGAGAGGTACGTACGTATTCACACACACACACACACACATATATATATATATATATACATATTTATATTCATGGGATTTGCTAATATTTTTCATCTTTTCTATCAGAAACGATTCAATAAACTCATGTCCAACATTTTTCAACTATCCCAAGTCAATTAGCACTTAAAACGATATTTTTCTATTTTTAACTTTTGTTTATTTTTTATTATTATTATTTTTTTTTCTGAATTTGAGTTTTTAGTTTGGATTTTTTTATTGTTTATTTTGATATAAAAAATTAATTATTTGATTTGATATTTTTATAAAAAAAAAAATTGTAAAAATCTTGAGTCGAATCTATATATAGTTTCTAACTGCTAAGTAGTATGATGTTGATTTGACCAGATCATATATTATATAATATTTAACATATATTTATATATATTCCAATATATTTATAATACAACATATGTTAGTATATTATAATTCAGTATATGTTGTACTATGTGTAAATATATGCTAATTATATACATAACGTTGATTTCAACAAACCAAAATGATGACATGATAGTATTAATGTTCGACATTTTCAACTATCTCACATTAATCTATATATATATATTTTTTCCCGTAATTTCGGGTTTTTTAAAGAAGGATTTCAAAACCTATAAAGATGTAGTTATTTCTATTTAATTTCAAATTTCGATTTCACTAATAAAATTACGTTGAATCTCAATAAATCGATAAAATTTCTCTTGTTCGATTATCTCAGTGGTTCAAGTCGCGGCACAAAAGGGCGTTGTACGAAGCATTGGAGAAGCTGAAAGCAGAGTTAATGCTACTAGGATTCATATCACTACTGCTCACAGTAGGACAAGATCCAATTTCGAACATCTGCATTTCTAAGGAAATTGGAGCCACGTGGCATCCATGTACCAAGAAACAAGAGACACTAAAGTATCCCGCCGACAAAACCCGCCGGAAACTTCTCGCCGCCGATGATGACGTGTCCACCCGCCGGATCCTCGCCGCCGGATACGATAAATGCGCAGCCAAGGCATGCATATTTTAAATATATAAATATTATTAATTAATTTAATTTAATTATTTATGGTTGGTAATTGTAATTGGGTAAAATATTTATTGCAGGGTATGGTGCCATTTGTGTCGACTTATGGTATTCACCAGCTGCATATTTTCATATTTGTTTTGGCTGTATTTCATGTTCTCTACTGCATTCTCACCATGGCTTTGGGAAAAACTAAGGTATGAGATCTTTTTTAAATTATTAAAAAATATTACCATCATATATATATATATATATATTTTCAAATAAAATATTATATTTAATACTCTATTTTTTACTCTTTTTCAAAATTTTCAATTAGGTGTTTTCATAACATATTTCTAATGAAATTTTCATTATTTATTTCATTATTAAGATTTTGGTTTTTATTTATTTATTAATTATTAGATGAGAAGATGGAAAAGATGGGAGGAAGAAACCAAAACTGCAGAGTACCAATTCTCACACGGTACTAAATAAATTACTAATTATATTTACCCATATCTTTATTTAATTAATTAATTATTACCCTCTAAATATGAAATTTAATTAATTAATTAATAACTTATTGCAGATCCAGAGAGATTTAGGTTCGCGAGGGAAACCTCCTTCGGCAGACGCCATTTGAGCTTCTGGAGCAAAACTCCAGCTTTACTATGGATTGTAAGTCAACTCTCTTATAATTTTCAATAATAAAATAAAATAAATATATATCATTAATAGAGTGTTGACTGGATCAGTTGACTTTCTATTGATGACGTCATACTCCTCCAATAATGATTATTATACTAATAATAATGAAATGATTAAATTATAGACATTATTTTATTAGCTTCCGCAGGATAAGAACGCGACGTGAATGACCCATCACGCTATATATATTTATTTAAAATTAATTAATTAATCATGATTAGTGTGTTTGACTTTTTCTGTGTCAGGTTTGTTTCTTTAGGCAGTTCGTGAGATCTGTTCCCAAAGTGGATTATTTGACTCTACGTCATGGATTTATCATGGTAATTATTTATCCTTTTTTTTAATAAATAAAATAAAATAATTTATTTAATAATTTCATATAAATTTAATTATCTATTATATTTAATCCGTAATTGAATTTTTCTTAGGCTCATTTGGCACCACAAAGCCACGCCAAATTCGATTTCCAGAAATACATAAATCGGTCACTTGAAGAGGACTTCAAAGTTGTCGTTGGAATTAGGTTTGTACTATAATTAATTAATTAATCATTTTTCTTATTTTATTTATTATAAATAAATAAATAAATAAATTTTTATATCCTTTTCATTGTACTTCCTCAGTCCACCAATTTGGTTCTTCGCCGTAGTCTTCCTCCTCTTCAACACTCACGGTAAATACATTTTTATAAATTAATAATAAATAATTTATTATAATATATTGTAAATACAACATATATATATATATATATACAGATTGACAATACATACTACAGTTGATCTTATTACATGACACATGTTTATACAGTAGATCTATATAAGTATTACCGGTCAACACAAAATTTCAATTACTTCTTCCATCTCACATAATTTATTATTTTTAAAAAAAAATATAATTATGCATTTTTTTTTATCACATTTTAAATTTTAAATTTTAAATTTTATAATTTTCTTAATTTAAATTAGACTATTTAGTTATTTTAATTTTAATCTTAATTATTTACTAATTATACTTTATCTAAATTTTTATATTTACACTAATAGACCCACAATATATGAGACGGATGGTGTAATATAGTACATATATTCAGTTTGTTCACTTCTGAATTGATTTTTTTGTGTGTCGTATGGAAAACTGTATTAGTAATATAAAAAATAATATTTTGTGTTGAGTGATTTACTTTTTAGGAGTGAATAATGTATATATATATTAATATGTGCTTATATTTATATATATTTTTAATAATATTTATAGTAAATTACTCCATTAAAAAATGCTGAGTAAACAGACGAATTATGTTAATTAAATATATTTGATTTTTTTTGAAGTATTAATTAGGCCTAATAAGCATTCTAATTATTCTGATCACTCATCACATCCACTTGTAATAACATGTACACGTGTCGTGTTCTTATTGGCAGGATGGTATTCGTATCTCTGGCTCCCATTCATCCCCTTAATCGTGAGTCTTGACCTTTATTATTTTTCCACTAGTTGACTTTTTCGTATTCGTGTACATACCCATATGTCAACCGTTGGATCGATATATCCCAAATTAAAAATTAATTACAAAATAAATAAATAAATATAATTATAATATAATATACAGATAATATTGTTGGTGGGGACAAAGCTACAAGTGATAATTACAAAAATGGGTTTAAGAATTCAAGAACGTGGCGAGGTTGTAAAGGGTGTCCCTGTGGTTCAGCCTGGAGATGACCTCTTCTGGTTCAATCGTCCACGACTCATTTTATACCTAATTAATTTTGTGCTTTTTCAGGTATATTTTTTAATTTAATTTAATTTTATGTATTTATATTTTATTTATTTTGGGCATATATAATTAATTAGTGGGATTTTTGACATATCTGCAGAATGCATTTCAGTTGGCATTTTTTGCTTGGAACTCGGTATGTAGCAAGTAGTGAAAGATTAATTTATCAAGATTATATGAATTTGGATTTTTAAAATAATTTTCAATATTTTAAATGGTTTTTTATAATAATATACGTTGTTTAATTTAATTTAATTTAATTTAATTTATTGCAGTATGAATTTGGATTGAGATCGTGTTTCCATGAACATGTGGAGGATATCATTATCAGAATTGCCATGGGGTGAGATTCTTAATTTCAATGCCCAAATTATTACAATAATTTACACTAGAGCCGGCAATGGATTGATTATCGTGTCGGGTTCGGGTTGATTCGTGCTGACCCGTATACACATTTAAGTCGAATTTCTTGATTTAAATTAAATAATTTTTTGTTGTATTATCGTGTTATGTTAGTTTTTATTGGTTTGAGCGTAAATTAGGTTGAATTATTTAAAATTGAACTTAGTTTATAATAATTTCTATTTTACATATATAATGAATATATTAATCAATATTAATATATTATCACTATAAGAAAAAATTTGTAACAAAATTTTTTTTTCTCTAAATCTACTTTTTCCATTACTAATGATATTAAAGACGGAATTAGGAATGGAATTACGTTAGCTACGTTAACTTTAGGGACGGAATTCCGTTACAAATAGATTATTTTTTTGTAGTGTATAATCGAGTTGTCGTGTCGGGTTCGTGTCAATCCGTATACATAATCGGGTTGAAATCTTTGACCCAAATTCAATTATTTCGTGTCAGATTGTCATGTCGGATCAGTTTTTGCCAGCTCTAATTTACAATTGTTACGTAATTATATAATTTCGTATTTTATTTTATATAGATATAATTAAGTAATATAAGTTGGTATTTTATTAATTAATTAATGCATTGCTTGATCACTTTCTGCAGGGTTCTTATTCAAATCCTTTGCAGCTATGTTACTCTCCCACTCTATGCTCTTGTCACACAGGTATATATTATATATACAATTAAATTTACCATAATTATATATAAAATTGTAAATGTTAGTGTATGTTCACTTGATTAATATTTTTCAATTTTCGCATTATTATATTTTTATGACTTTCTATAAAAATATATTATTTACAAGACAATATATCTAAATCATTGTTTAAACTAAAATTTCAAAATTAAAATATAACACACTTTTAGTAACATTGAAAAATATACCTAGTTTAATTTAAAACCGAAAAATACTTTGGCTCTATTTACATATATACTTTTGAAAATTTTAATACTATTTATCATTAGTATTTTTATTTTTATTTTTTATTTTAAAAAATCACATCTTATAATATAAGAAAATATAATTTTTATATACATATCCAATACAACGATGTTCGATCTTGACACAGATGGGATCGAACATGAAGCCAACAATATTCAACGAAAGAGTGGCTGCAGCCCTAAAGAATTGGCACCACACAGCCAAGAAGCACGTGAAGCAGAGCAAGAACTCGGCTCCGGCGACCCCGACGTCGCCGGCGACGCCCTTCCACGGAATGTCCCCGGTCCACCTTCTCCGCCACCACAACAACCGCAGCGAAACCGACAATAGTCTCCAAGCGTCTCCCCGGAGATTGGCCTACGAAGTCGACCATTGGGACCCGGACGGCTCGTCGTCTCCGACCCAATTTTACCAAACCGACGGAATTTCGTCGACTAATCAGCCCCCGAATTCCGGCGCCGCCGTCGAGATGGGTCAGGTTGATTCCGGGCCCTACCAGATTGTGCCGCTGCCACATCCGCACCGGGAGATCGATGTTGTCGTCCGCAACGACTTCTCTTTCGATAAAAGATGATGGAATATGCCGTTGAAGAACACAATGTAAAAAAAAAAAGAAATGGACAAAATGTAACGGACATGATCCCAAAATGTTTTGGGAGATTTTCGGGCGACTCGATGATATGACATTCTGGTGGTATGTCATTAATTTTAATGAAGATCATTCAAATTGATTGAAGACTGGGGAAATGAGTCGGAATTTACTGGGAAATTATGAAATTATATTATTTTTTTACCGCAGTAGAAATGCAAGAAAAATGTAGTGAATAATTAGAGAGAATTTGTGTGGAAGAATTTACTTCAATTTGTATTCGTTATTTTGTTACAGTAGCATTGAATTATACTTCATTTATTCATTAGTAATTCGACATTCATTATGTTCAATTATTGTATTCGATATTTTGAGATTATTTAACTCACTTTCTCTTACTACACTCTACTCTCAAAATCTTTACAACAATCAACTCTCAAAACACACATTATAATGTCGCAGTCATGGACTTGACAAGTGCAGTAATCAATAATTAATTCTCAGTATAAAATCTGTTTCCAAGTTAACCATAAAAAATAGTCTCTTTTTGTATTGTTTGCCTCACCAACGAAAAGAGTAAAAAACAAACAATGTTGTCGACAATCCGTTGCAGCAGTCATACAAGACCTGTTACTACAAATAAAAATCTGAAAGGCAACAACAAAAAAGATAAAGTGAACATATGCCAAAATAGATGAAGAAAATTATATTCCATCATATACATATTGTATATTAATATGTATATATATCAATTATATTAAAAGAGTATATATATATATATATATATACACATGCATATAGACATATATAAATATATCACTTTAATCCCCTCATCACCTATTGGGCTTTATAGAGTCTATCCTAATTTTGTCTGAATAAAAACTTGGCCATTTTACCTATTTAAGTTGGGTTAATATGAGTATTAGATTTGGGCCACTCACCATTTTTTTTTAAAAACATATATGTAGTATTAGAAAAAATTAGAGATATACCAAAATTTGATATAGGTTGTGTTTATTTGAGTTTTGAATTTTGAATTTAAATATTGAATAATAAAACTTTAAAATTTTAATAAATTCTTTTATATGATATAAATAAATACTACTCGTCAATATAAAATTGATATATATTTTTTTTTTTCATAAAAGTAAGAATTATTTTAAAAAAAAAACAATCAAATATGTGGGAGAAAGAAACCATCTTCAATAAAAAATTTTATAAAGAAAATTTTCTTTGAATAAAAAGTTGCACTTATCGATTTTAAGCAATATAAAAACGAAGATTTGCAATATTTAGTTGATATTATTGTAGTTTGTTATTTTGTATATTTTTAAAATATGACGTCTATATAATTATTTGATAATAAATAGATTGTGTTATTTCAAAAAATAGACTCTCCTCTCGTCAAATCCTTGTTCTGCCGCCACTAACAATGTCATTGGCTCTATCCAAATATATTTTACTTGATTGGTTAAAATTAGAAAAAACCAACATGCTCTTAGCTACAAACATTTTGGGTGGAAATAGCTTTTGTTTAATTTTTATTTTTTGGATAAATAATTTTTTTTCTATTATCTATAAAATAAATTGTATTATAATATAAAAAATAATATTTTAAATTAAATTATCAATTCTTTATTAGTGTATAAAATATATATTTTATTAATAAATGTATTGGAAACAGGAGCACCGATCGAATAAGAGGTCCAAAGCCCCCGAATTACTTGCACAACGTAGTTGTAGAACATATCGACCTAAATACAACTTTTACAATGTGATTATCTCGCGGTTCAAACAGCAACGTGTGTTCATACACAAAATGATGGCTAAGTAAGTGCAAAAAGAAAACAACACACGGTTTGTTTACTCGGTCGACAGTGAGGTAATTCCTATTTGGTTATTTGATAAGAGTAAGGAGAGAGAAGAAAGAAAAATACACTACGATGATCGAACTGCACTCATGCTTTTTCCGCGTCAAGTTGACAGTCCCCCGGAGTTCAGTATTCAAAACTAGATTTGAGAATTCCAATTCAGGAGTTTTAACTAGATCAAACATTTGGTTTACATCATCTAAAACACTGAATAAATCTACCCAATTCATGCTCTAACCAAGCTTTATATCATTTTACAAATTCAAATAGACTGGATGTATAATTCGGAAATAACTACAACAAACTAACAGTTAAATTAAAAGTAAGGTGACATACCACTTGATTATCTCATTTGATTTCGACTCTATGAATTCATTTTTGTCGGTTTCAAAGCTCCATAAATGCACATCTCAATACTTCGTATAGTGAAGAGAACAAAATGTCCAAGAAGTGTACGAATCTATACAAATTTAAACACTAATATACAACAAAAAATATACACTCTACACTCCAAGATGCATGCATGTTTTGGGTAGTGTGTACGAGACAATTAATTCTACGCAGGCTGAGAGAGACACACCATTTACTTCTCATGTATGTCCTCTTCTTGAAATAAGTTTGTTTGTGTTATTTCAATATGTACAAAATACGTTAAAGCACCAACTCAGTCAATTTTCCGTCTATGTACAAGTTTTTTAAAATAGCGTCAATTAGCAACTAACTACAACAACATAGTTACAATCTTGTTCATACACAAAAAATAAATACATTTTTTTTTTATTATTTTACATATTTCAACGTGTAATATACTTCCTCCGTCCAGTAAAATTAGATCATTTGGACTTGGCACGAATATAAAGAAAAATGAAAATTTTATTGAAAAAATTATAAAAATATTAAAATGGTAGTTGATGTTATTTTAAAAATTGAGTTAGAAATTAAAGAAAATGAGAACGTAATAAAAATAGTGATATTAATATAAATATAAAAAAAAAAAAAAAGAGTAAATTTGATGAACGAAACCGAGTATTATATTTTTTTAATAATTTTTATAAAAAATCATTCTTTCTTACCCATTACATTCTAACAAACCGACATATTAAGACTTGTAATTGAATTGATTGAGGAGTCATGAGTGCCTAATGCTTATCCACACAATTAACAAGTTCCTGCCTCCTCTATAACTGCTCTTCGTCAAAATCGATGATCACCTAACCCTATCCTATCATCCACTACTAATAGTAATAGTAATAGTAATACTATCTTTCCTTTCCTTACATCCAATCCAATCCAATCCAACCCTCTTTCTTTCTCTGCTTCTCATTGTGAATTTCCTGTCTGAATTCCGACCGGCCGAACAATTCTCCGATCGATCCGCCATGGGCAGAGGGTCTTCGCAGTCGCAGAATCCCACCGCCTCCACCAACCGCCCCGATCTCAAGGCCCCGCGAGGCTCCGCCGCAGCCTCCGCCGGCATGCGACGCAGGAGGCTAGGCGCCGGCGCCGGCGCCGGCGGATCCTCCTCCTCCTCATCCGCCGCTCTCGGCGGCCCCGGCGCCGGAAATATGCTCCGATTCTACACCGACGACTCGCCGGGGCTGAAGATCGGGCCCAACGTGGTGCTGATTATGAGCATCTGCTTCATCACCTTCGTCGCCGCTCTCCACGTCGTCGGCAAGTTCTACCGCGTCCGCCCCGGATCCTGATGTCCCCGATCGGGTCGGGCTAATCCGGTCGGGTCGGCCACCGCTTTGGATGTAGATCTGGATAGAGCCTCTGTATCTGCCGCATCTACTGTTTACTGACTCTTTGCTTTTTTTTTTTTTTTTTTTTTTTTAATGTATATATTTTTTTAAATATTAATTGAATCATGTATCAGAAATTTGACTTCTTATTACTTCGAAAAGTGAATAGTGATATTGAGAGAAGGTAAGGCTATATTTAGTTACATGTAGTAAATATTTTAGAACTTCGTTAATATTAATTAGTCAACAATGATTTTTTTAAAAGATAATACTACTGCATCACAAAATTTTAATTTCTAAAAAATTAATTTAAAATTTTTTTAAAAAATTTTCAAAATAAACATATAGTGTGTTTGTTTGAAAATTTGAATTGTAAGGGATTCCGGAACACAACACGTAGCTAATATATGATAATGTTTTATATTGCAAATTGTACCATTTAATAATTTTTAATAATATATTATAAATATTATTTAATTAATAAATCATATATTATAATTCATAAAAATATGTGGATATATAACTTTTTTCGTGTCTTTTATTCTATTTGTATGGCCACAATTATTTCTATAATTTATTAAAATATAATATTATACTCCTTTCGGTTCGGCCACAATTATGGCCTGTGCGATCCCTGCCTTCTCTCTTAAATTATGATGGCGATTGCGTGATGACACCTTTTTCCGGGCGTGTGCGATGCCACGTAAGTACTTCCGGAAATTCTTCCGGGGCTTGCTCCCTGCCGGAGATTTGGAAACATCTGTGCCAGGTTGTCAAACCCTTGTAAATCAAGCAATGAGATATCACTCGTTTGAAGGTTTGATTCCAAGTTCGATCCTGGGTGGATGCGTGTCTGCATGTGTTGGGTGAAATTCTCGTCGGGGATGTGAGTGTGTGCGTGTGTGGGGTGTTTAAAAAAAAAAAAGAAAAAAAAACGTCTGTGCCAGGTTCCCTGGGAGGCGCAGAGCCAGATCACCTGGAATGGGGGACGCGGAGAGTGTTTCTTCTAGTTTGACACCTGGTGGGATAGGCCCTTCTCAGATCTTGAACATCTTTGCGATATGGTTTTGATAGACTGGACGTGGAACACGGGGTGAAGTTGGGATAGGGCCTCTGGAAGTTTGACCTTGTATGCTACCTCGCTAATCTTCTTCCGCACCCTAAATGGACCCTCATATGTACCACCACCTTCTTCAGCTGATCGAATGCTTCTTGACATTCCTTCGTCCATTCCCACATTTTCCCTTTTCGTAGCATGTTTGTCAAGGGGATCGCAATCGTCGAATATCCCCTAACAAACCGTCGATAGTAATTCTTCAAACCAAAGAAATACCACACATATCCCAGAGGGTGCACAAGGGCTTGATGCGGAGGTATGAGGGCCCATTCCCGGTGCGGAAGAAGGTTGGTGAAGTGGCATACAAGGTCGAACTTCTAGAAGCCCTATTCCAACTCCACCCCGTATTCCACGTCAGTCTATTAAAATCATGTCGCGAAGATGTTCAAGATCCGAGAGAGGCCTATCCCCACACCAGGTATGAAACCAGAAGAAACACGATAAGACTCAAATATGAGATTTATAACTCTAATATGATGCTAGATAATATAAATTGAAACAATTAATCCATGTACAACTTTTGATGTCGAGGATGTCTTGATCAACAATTACTTGCCATGACCTCGTCGAACACTTTCTTTTTTCCTAACACACTCACACACTCATACCCCCAACAGAAATTTCACCCAACACATGCACACATCCAACCCTCAAGTGAGAGATGTCTTATCGCTTGAACTAAAAGGTTTTACCTCGTCGAACACTTACTTCACTAACATTGTGAACTATTACCTCCATTAGCCATTAGAGATATTTATGCAATTTTACTTAAGCAGGAAGATTTGAAATAATAAAATTTTAATATAAAAATAAAATATCTAAGAAGTAGAGTGCAAATATTATTGTAAATATACTAAAAGGTTAACAAACAAATAATAAGATTAAAAAAAAAAAAATCGTTCCACAGATGAATATATACATATTTTCTATAAATAAGTTATATATTTTCTTCGTCAGTTAAAAATGTACTCATATTTTTTAACATGATTTTTAATATAAATGTGTACTTTTGGTTAATTTTTATAGTTCAAAAAAATACAAGTAGAAGAAAAAATTTACTAAAAAAAAGGGATATATATTTTTAAGTAAAATAAAAATAAAAAAGAAAAAAGAAAATGAACACATATTTAAGTGATAAAGAGAGTATATAATTTATAAGACAACTAAATAATTGTTTGATTTTATATAATTTTTTTAGAAATAAAATCGAACAGTAAAAATCTTGTAAGCTAGTTGAAATTGACCTTATTTGTATGGCAAACTCAACCCCACTTTCCCATTCTTTGTTTATATTACAACAGAAATGGTCAATACAGTGCTTATTGTGTATTCGAAATTGTACATAGTTTTATTTTCACCTTGTATTATCGTACATTCCGTAATTATTTTATGGTGTATATTACATGAAATTCAAAACAAACATTACATACAAATTCAGGACAAAGATGCATTCTTATTGAACACAAACTCCATTTATTTATCCATCACTGCAGAATGCTTCCCGCCAAATGCAATGGCGCGCCAAATTCGAGCATGCTGTTATTACCGCAATAAGCATAATTTATCGGGTTGATGATCGAGTAGTCGTTGCCTTCGAACATATTCTTAATGTTCTCATTCTCGAACAAATTATTAGTATAGGATAATGTTGGAGTTGTTGTCTGAATGCAGTTTTTTGCGGTGGCGGCAGCAGCAGCAGCAGCAGTGTCTCCGACGAGTAGCTTGGCTACTGCGTGATATTCGCTCGACAATAAGTGGTTTGTAAGAATATCTTTATCGGTTGCGAGTGGAAAGAATTCCTCGGCTATTTCGAAGTTGATTGTGTTGGGAAGATCACACTCTATGAGAAGTTCCTTACGATTCTCATCATGTTTGTCCTGATGATCATCTCCATTCTTTGACAAGTTGCCTTTTTGTCGGATTCGACATATTACCCAATCGTCCAACTGTTATGCCGATTGCACAAACACATTGAGATAGTCGAACAAAGAGAATTTATGGATCAAAATGAAATATATATGTAATTTTATTTTATATTTCAATAAAATGAAACTTGGATATGAAGAGAAAACGACTTAGATATTTATAGGCTTCATAAAATTAAACTAAAGTAGAAAGGAAATGAAGCCAAAATAAGAAAATTTGCAAAATAAAAGAAAGCCACAAAAGTAGAAAACTCTATTTTAAAGTTCTAAATGATGTCTAATTTTAATTTACAATACCAAAAAGCGAAAATTTAGAAAAATGCATTAATCTGGATATCGAAATTCATACTCTTTAATTTATGATTCACGTGCTTTATGGTCCTAACAACTAAGGATTAAATAACACACGTCACTATTAATGTCAGTACGTATCACAAATTAATACAACATTCACCATAACACAATTTATATTAAATATAATATACTTCCTCCGTCCCGCAATAAGGTTGCAATTGATTTTTTGTATGTTGATTTTTGAATATTAATTATGATATCAATACGCAGTACAAATCAAGAAAAGAAAACAAAAATATGTTTATTAGTCTCTTATAATACATATACAATGATATTTGTCGAATAAATTATTCAAATATAAGGATATTTTTAATATTAATTACAGTAACATAAAAATTAAATGACAACCTTCTTGGGGGACGGAGGGAATAATGCAATATATCAACTAATATCATAGGACAATAGTCTACCCACCCTATGTCATCATTAATCTCAATCATATGTTTGCACAATAGAATATATAATCTATAATTACAATATATATTAATAATATACACAACAAATATTATTTCAATAGCAACAATGCTGATTAGCATGGTGTTGATTAGCCTTGTTTTACCGAATTAAATATTTAATAAATTATTTTTATTAATTTTAATTTAATTGAAGCTATATACAGAGAGAGATAAATGAACATCGAGAAAGAAAAAGAGAAAGAAAAAGAGAAAGACGTACTCTCTTGGAATTGGAGTGTTTGGACCTGGAAGCATCAGGGAGCCGATACTCAGTCATTATCCAATCCTTCTTCAGACCAGTTGGGGCCTTTCCTTGGTAGAAAACAAGCCCTTTCTTCACTCCAATTTTCGTCGTTGGTCCCATCGACGAGCTGTAAATGGGCTTATCGGTCCCAGTAGCTTTCCAGTAGCCAGACGCCGCCGTCCGATTAGGCCTGCCGCCGTTGGGGTACTTCCGGTCCCTCGGCGTAAAAAAGTACCATTCATCTTCTCCGAACAACGCTCTCCCTGTCAATTAAGATCGAACAAACTACACATTACATTAATTTCATTACCACCATGATGGCTAATTAAGCTAATTTCACATATTTGAAAATATTTTGCATCATTCTCCTTCATAATTTAAAAACGGCATAAAATCCTCTTGTATTTTTAGAATAGGGTAAATTATATCACACCTATTTATATTTTTGTAAAAATATATTGCGTGAAACCCCTTGTGTTATTGTAAAACTTGCACGAAACACCATTTTTATCCAACACTAATGTTGATGTTTGGTTCTAAATAAAGACCTAAATTACGCATATTTTATACAAATAAAAAGCGTAAAATATTTTAAATAATTATTTTTTGAATAAAATAAATAAATAAATAATTGATTAATCTAGTTTTTTTGGAGACATTGTTATATGATTTTTACAAAAAAAATTATAAAAGTAAATGATTGATCAATTATTTATTTAGTTATTTTATTCAACAAAATTATTTAAAATATTTTACCTTTTTTATTTGTATAAAATTTGCATATTTATTTAGAATCAAATATCAATTTTGAACAAGAGGGTGTTTCGTGCAAACTTTACATTAATACAAGAGGATTTCACGCAATAAATAAAACACAAGGTATTTTATATATTTTTACTAGAAACACAAGAGGTGTTGTATAATTTACCCTTCGGAATATCGTGCAGAAACCCTATATTTTCTAAAATATGAGATAATTTTGTACAATTTTTAAATCACGAGAGAGAATGTGCCCAATTTGCAAACTATACAAAAATAAATTATAAACAATTTTATCTTAAAAGTATATATATGTATATATATATATAAATGTATGTATGTATATAATAAACAGATGATGAGATGAGAACCCACTAGGCAGATCCCATGGGTCATATCTATAAAGCTCTATATCATTAATCACATTTGCTGGCAGTGGTAGGCACTTCACTTTCCTGTGCAGGTAGAACGTGATCAGTTCTTCATCCGACGGCTGGAATCTCACCCCCGGAGGGAATCTGCCCGGAATTGTGTCTTCATCCATTGCTCGATTTCGATCATATACATATATATATATATTTATATGTATGTATGTATATATATATATATATCTGTTAGTGCCAGCAAGAATTATTTGAATTCTTGCTGCTGCCCCAAATATGGAAGTGGGTAGGAAGACTTAAAATGAGGGTCCAAGGTGTTCTTTTATAGCTACCTAGGTTCATTGGAGATCGATATATCGATCAAGAAGTATATACCATGTTATGTCTGATTATGATTTGGTGAATTAATTAATACAATATTATATATATTTATATACTCCCTCCGTATGTCCGATGACAAAATATATATTTACGTTTGGCGCGGAGTTTAAGATATAATAGTATTTTAATCGTAATAAGTAGTTAAATGTAGTGTAAAGAAAATTTTGCCCTTGTTTTTTTTTTTTTTATATTTATAATTTAAAAGTAACGAGATGATGATAAAATAGAAATATTTGTGGAAAAAGTAGATCTTTGTAATTGGACAACTAAAATTAAAATATTCCCTCTGTCCGATAATAAGGGTTTCGTTTTCCATTTTGCTCTGTCCCAAAATAAGGGTATCATTTTTTAATTTAGTAATTGTACTACCTATTTAACATAATATAAATACCCTTCAAATTTACAATATATTATACAAATGCCACCACCTTTGTATTACAAAATATTAATAAGGGTATTTTCATTTTTTTATTACAACTCAATATAATACTAATATTAAAAAATCTACGTGCAAAAACTAAATATTACTCTTTATATGAGATAGAGTGAGTATGCATATTTTCTGATTGGACGAATTTAAATTCTTGGATGCTCTTCTTTAGTCTATTCTTGATTATAGATTTTTCCAATGGGAAACCCTGTCTTATTGTGTGGACATATGATTGAGACACCATGGGAAGGAATATATTTTGGCGGAGGAATATCTTTTATTTGATTCTCGTATTTTTTTTTTTCACAAAATATTATACTAAATATTATTTTATCACACAAATATCAAGTTAAAATACCGTTAAATTATTTTAAAATGGTTATAGAAAATATTTTGTATGAATACTTAGTTCACTTAGTCAAAATGGTAAAAAACATCTCTATATTTTGTATACAAAATGGTTATTATAATGTGTTTGTTTGAGGGATTGGATTTTTTTTATTATTCATTCAATTTTTTTTTCCAAAAAAATATCAAATCAAACACCTATTTTTCATTTTTTATATTATACTAAAAATCAATTTTACATTTAAAGTATCACATCAACACCTATTTATATCACATCATACAACTATTCAAATTTAAAATTTTTACTATTCAAATCCCAACTCAAAATCCAAACCTCCAAACAAACACACCCTCTCTCACTCTATCCAAAATCAATTGTGCGTACCATTTTTCTCATTTTGTACGGTCTACTATTAATATATTTATTTTCTAATTTAGTAGATCTTGTCTTCATGTAATAATAAAATACATCTACATTTCACCTAAAAACTACGGGCATATTACGAGTTTGTTTGTTTAGTATTTTGATTTGAAAATTATTATTATTATTATTTCTGTCGGTAATATAATATAATATCGTAGGTTGAATATTGACTTTTGTGTATAAGATGATAAATATATATACATATATTGAGAATCGTATCGAAAAAAAATTATGAACAAACAAACCCTATATTATTTTACTCTCTCTGTTCTAAATTTATTATTATTATTTTTTTTTTGTCTTCTAAATTTATTTTCGTTTTGTATAATAAAACATATTATTATTTTTTTACTTTTTATTTACCTCATTTTTTTAAAAATTTTTTAGTTAACTTTCTTAAAATCCGTAATGATCAAATGAACACATAGTTCTATGTCGGAGAGAGTATAACTTATCAATCGCACTTTAAAAAATCTTTGAGGTAAGACTTTCTATACACTAACTAATTTACATAAAATAATCGTATTTCTTAATTTCAATAACACAAATAAATTGATGTCTCTACAATTTACTCCTACTTGTTCTTTTAGTATTTAACTCCAGCTAACTTCTTTAATATATAATGCCTTGATATTTATATAGGTGTGTTTGGACATGTTTCCTCCGCCTCTTCCCCCCCCCCCCCCCCCCATATATATATATAACTAAAAAAAATCTTGAAAATAACATTAAATTCCATGTCAGCCTTGATGGTTAAGATCCCGTTGAAATAAAATTAAAATGTATAATTTTTTTTTCTAAAAAAATGATAAAATAAGTAAGATAGACAAAAATAAAAAAATGAACACAGTAAGTAAGACGAATAGAGTATTATATATGAAAAATTGTATTATAATATAAAAAATAATATATTTTATTAATACATATATTATTATTTTAATAATATTTATAAAAAATCGTTCCACTTACAAATACTAGGGCTGACAAAAATTATTTAAAGGTTGAGAAAAATTATTTCGACATGAAATAATTGGCTTTGACTACACCCCCCTTGTGTTTTTGTAAAATGCACAAAACACTTTATATTTTATTTATTGCGTAAAATCTCCGGTGTTAATATAAAGTTTACACGAAACATCCTCATTGTTCAAAAATAATATTTGATTCTAAATAAAAACCTAAATACACAAGTTTTATACAAATAATAAATAAAAATATTTTAAATAATTTTTTTTGAATGAAATAAATAATAAATATATAATTGACTAATCCTTTATTTTATAATTTTTTGGAAACAAATTGTTAGCTGATTTTTATAAAAAGTATAATAAAAAATAATGGATTAATTAATTATTTTATTCAAAAAAAATTATTCAAGATATTTTACGTTTTCTTATTTGTACAAAACTTTGCGTCTAGAACCAAACATCGTTTTTGGATAAATAGTGTGATTCGTGCAAACTTTACATTAACATAAGAGGTTTTCCGCAATAAATAAAACATAAGATATTTTGTACATTTTTACGAAAATACAATGGGATGTTATATTCATTAAAAGTAGTATACATTTACTTTTGACGCGAAATTTAAGAAACAATAGTATTTTAATTGTATATAGCGGATAGTTAAAAATAGTGTAAATATAATTTTGTCCTTACTTTTTAGTGTAAAAATAATAATATTACCGTAAATAGGAGTATTTGTGAAAAAAAAGTATTTTTTAAACGATTACTTTATAATTGGACAACTCAAAATAGAAATATGTAGTGAACAGATGTAATATAATTTAGTACGACCTATTTAACAAGAATTAATATTTCATAGTTTAATTAGATAATATAGTATCATAAAACCTTATATATGAAATGATCAAACGAACTCATAATGTATTAGGAAAAACAAAAATGGGTTCAAACCCCGACGCCTCCAGGTTTACCTGCCACACATGGTTCGCCTAGTGTGATTTGCCTTGCCGGACCTAGTTTGTAGGGTATTAGGTTTTGTTAGAATATGAAACTGAAATTCTCTATTTCAATCATAAGAATATGTACATATTTATAGTGATATACAAATCGTCTAAATAAGATAAGAATCCTACGAATCTCTTAAATAAGATAACTACCATAAATATAATATATTCCTTCTAAATGTATTTTAACAGGATCGACCGGGAGTTTACCCAGTGCGCACTTTCGAATAACGGCTGCGAATTCCCAGGTTATAATATATATATATATAATAATTTGGTGTACAGTTAGTTGGTTGGGTATATTTTATAATTGTTACAAACAATGGAAAATGTTAATGACAAGCAGCCAAAACTCAAATTCTTTGAATTAGGTATCATGCAAATATATTAATATATGCATCACCCATGAAAATGGCAATAGATAATCTCCATGCACGAAGTTTGTCTCTATATGGCATGTGCCAATTGCATGCCAACACGTGGCAGATAAATTTATGTCTGAACAAATGTTTTGTATTCCCACGTCTTGCTAACATCGAACCAATATTGTCGATTTCTATATGATTTAATTTCTTCAAAGCAAAATTTGTTCTTATGCTGTCTTTACTAATGTTTATTTTTTATATATATATATATATGTTATTAGAAGTGGTAAATTGTAAGTACATTACTTTTGTGACTTGTTCACCACGCTATGTTTTTTTCCTTTTTTTTTTTTTTTTTTTTTTTTTTAATAACGTGGAAATCTGTCGACGAGTGCGTTTTGGGTAAACTTTTGACCGAACTTAATAACCTGAAAAATAGGCTCGACAAATCAAATCACACTAAGCGAATCATGTTTTGAATGATGTATTTAATTTGTTACGGTATGGATTATGAGCAAAATAAAATTGATAAATTATAAAAGTTTGATCGAGGTCCTATTTTACACTACTGAATATTGTTTTATAGTGAATCTTTTACATAGCTTCAATATAAAGAAATAGATGATTTGTATATATTAAGTTTAAGTTTCTATGTGAGATGATCATTTAATATTGTATCAGAGTCGAAAAGTTTCATTTGAGTTCCACAAATGTGATTCCTTTACAAAGACGCGATTACAAGATTTTGGCCTCTATGGTCTGAGTAATGTTTCAAAGCATCTTTTGTGATTGATCTTTGTGTCTTTTGTTATTACTCATATGTAGACATGCCTTAACAAAATACTCTAAATTTGAATAATTGTACGATATGATATAAATAGGTGTTAATGTGATGTTTTAAATGTCAAATTGATTTTTAAGTATAATATAAAAAATAAAAAATAAAAAATAAATGTTAAATTTAATATTTTTATTTTTATTTTTGATAAATATTAAAAAATTGGTAAAATTGAATAAAAGAACACACCCTAATTACGACTGAGTCTTCGAATCAGCCATCGGGATTTCTAAAATTTTAGCACTTGAAACTAGATTCAACCCAAGCAAAAAAATTAAATTTAAAATTTAAATCCCACAAGGATTATATATTCTTTTCAATATATGTGTTTTTCACACAAAAATTCTCACAAAGATGGAATAATCCCTCTCAAAATGAGGGAAAATTTCGACGACGAAAAATACTCATTCTTGGTTTTTTTTTTTTTCCCTTAGGTGTGCCTTTCAAAATGATTTCAAGAATTTCACACATTCTCTTCCAATAAATTCCAGTAAAAAAATTCACCTAAAGGAATGAAAAGTTTTTCTCTTGTAGATAAAAAGAAA